CCAACATGCAAATTAGCCTGCAGTACCACTGCTCTACCCATGTGTGCAGCAAAAAGATGTTTTTAGACCATATATTACAGATTTCAACAAATACGCACAAAAACATCAAAATTAGCACAGAAACAGTACTATATAACATTTTAGACACATTCTAGACAGTTTATCAGCAAAAAAAAGTTAATTTTCGGGTAAGTTACTCTTTAAAGAGTTCCCCCTTTGATGTCACTTCCTGTTTCACTTTAGCTGAGCCAAGTTCAAAAGAAAATAAACAAATTATATGACAAAATGAGTAAAATCATGTGTATTATGCAAAGTTTCTTAAATATGAAGTTGTTTTATTTGACTTTCTTTATCTGAAGGATATACACATCACAGGAACTTTAACTTAAGAATTTCTGTAAATACACTGCTCTATATTATGTGGTTCACAGTTATTAAAATGGACAGAACTACAGCAGGGACAGGCATACTAAAGAACTTCCCTGGCCTTTCCTGGGCTGCTGGCTGCTGTCTCCCTGTCAGCCCCTGGGTCTTGTCAAATGTTTGGCCCCGTGATGAGCCCTTACAAGTCCTTAACCAATCCCAAAGAACCGCAGAGTTTCCTGGGAAAATACAGCCAACCGTATTTGTGGCTGAGCTGGTGTGGAAATCATGTCCGGAGATGTGCACTGAAAGGGGGGTGCTGTAATTGATGCAAAACCGCCTAAGCCCCACGGCGGTTTTACTTTGTAGTAAACAAACGCAGCAGATGAGAAGGAAAAACACGGCTGATTGAGTGACACAACCCCGACTCAGATTTTTGTCTGACACATGAGGTTTTAAAAGGCTTTCCTCTGTTATGTTTCCTACTTACTGACTTTCCCCCCCGCTTAACTTTCTCTGGAGCAGAATCTGCAGCTCCTCGGGGCCACGGCGATCGAGGACAAGCTTCAAGATAAGGTGCCTGAAACTATCGAGACTCTAATTAAGGCTGACATTAAGATCTGGATCCTGACTGGAGACAAACAGGAAACAGCCATCAATATTGGTAAGAAACAACAACTTTCTGGTCTTTGAACTTTGTTTTACGTGTGTTCCGATGTGTGTTGTGCAAAGTGTCGTGCCGTTTCTCTCTAAGGTCAACACAGCACTTTTTAGACTTTTGCAGCTGTGCAGAAAAACACGTTTTTTAATCTGCTCCCTTTCACCTAGAAACATTGCTCTTACCACGACTCTGTACAAGCCCAGCTCTGCTACCAGCTGCATAATAAGAAACCGATGCTTGAATTGCTAACACATGTAAAGAAAAGTTAAAAAAAAAAACAACAACCCTGGCTGTTTGAGTTATAGATGCTTGTCCCGTTCATGTTCCTGCATCAAGACACACTTTAGCCTTGTTTATGTACTTTTCTCTCGCAGGTACCCCAGCCAGTCTCACAGTCATCCCTCACCCAGCACGATCAACTACTGACAAGTCCAATGTTTCTCTGTCACACATATCTTGTGAAAGCATCTGTTGCAGAGTGATATACGAGCGCTCCGGACTCGCGTGAAATAAATAACATGCAAATATACTTAGGCAGACAAGTCTCACACGTCTAGCTTCCTCTGAGATTTCTGAGATTTTCAAGATATTATCAATAACTGATGCTGTTTGACCGTTTCAGTTCATTTATGTGACCTTGTATGATGATTTTTTTTTAAATGTGAGGAAATACCTAAAGTAGATCAGCCTTGATTATAGCTGGTAGCACAGAGTTTAGAAAAATAGATATCAAAGGCTGCACCTACCACCGAGGCCTGACTGAATCAGCTCTTTGTGCCCACTGTGCCCAGATGTGAGGAGGCTCAGCAGAGCCGAATGCTCTCTGCAAGAGTTTTTACAGCTCTGCTTTTTTTGACAGAGTTGCCCTGTAAAACCTCTGCTCACTATTGACTTTTTTTTTACTCTTTCCCATATTGAAAGATTGTTTCATTGCCAAGGTGATAAAGCACTGTGCTCTACTCCAAATTAGACTCACACGAGAGAGTAAACAGTTTTCTGCACATATGTGAGCTCTTAATCAATATGCTATTTGTTTTTTAATGCTCTCTGTGGTAAATATTCATCTTTAATTGTTGCTCCCCAAGCGTAACAGAGATTACTGTAGCATGAGTGTTGGTTCACATTCCACAAGGCCTGTGGGACCAGTGTTTACTTCCTCCTGCCATGGAGAAAGGGACAGGATTTAACTTTGCTCAAATCAAAAGAAAAAGAGCTTTCAAATGAACCAAACGGTAAATACATTACGCGGAGGGGGTGGAGTTAGTAATTGACAAGGGGGGAAGGGAATAAAGACAGTGTTAAGATGGCCAGACGTTTTCACACAGCGGTGCATTTTTGCACCTTTGCACTTAACAAAACAATCTGCCAGACCCCAGACTCAAGCCTGTTTGGTTTTAAAACTGGGGGGTGTAACTTCCTCATTTCCTGCGTGTGTGATGACTGTATCAAACTGAGCCTTTTTGTGTGTTTTCCGCACGCTCTTATCTCCACTTCGCTCTCAGAAAGAAGACAGGTTACGCGGTGACGTCCTAAAGCAACATCAAACCTCCTTCCAGACAGAAGCAAAGTGTTGAAACCCACAAATATTTCTGTGGTTGCGCCACAGCCGGCTGTCCTCTCGTACATCTGCAGCACCAAACTGAAGGCTTCAGTCTTAGTTCATGAAACATTTCTGTGTCCCCCCCACCCCAACGAGAAGCTCCCTCACCACTTGCTGCTGATCCCGAGTGTCTGTCCCAGCCAAGAGCTGAGCAGAGCGCTCCCCAGAGAGCGCGTTGGCTAACCCAGAGTTGTAACAGCCTGTTAAAACAGGAAACTGACAAACCTCTTGTAAACCAAACTCATTAGTCATGTTCTGAGGCGCTGACTCTTAGCTGTTACATTTTAATTGCTTCCCCTTAAAATGTTGCATTGGTTGTTTTATCACGTTCTTTTTATAATTTGATTCTTTTTTTGTTTGTTTGTTTACAGTAAATAACTTTAGTGAGTTATGAAACCTTTATTTAAATAAAACCTTGGATGTAGAAATAAGATTAACATCTWAACCCATATGTTTAACAACTTGTCTGCTTAAGTCTAAAAAATAGTTTAAAATGCAAAAAGTATACATATATATTTTTTTTCTTCCATCTCAGGACATTCCTGCAAACTTCTAACAAAGAACATGGGCATGCTAGTGATCAATGAAGATAGTCTGGATGTAAGTATAAAAGATTTGCACCTCATTTTTAGCAAATCAAAATGTGTACACCATGCATATTTAATTTATTTTTTAACTAAAAATGTTTCTTTATACTTTTTTTCCTCCACCAAACTGGACTAAGATACAGGAAATGCTCACTTGGTGAACTGATCTACAGTTACCGTTGCTGTCTGTACTTTCTGCATCTTCTATAAAGATTCATTATTGCAGAATATCTGGAGACTTAAAGAGAAAGTAATACATTTCTTTTTTTTYCCAAGGTCATTAAGAGACACGTGTCATTTTTATTAATAAAACTAAAGTTTATGTTTTGATTAGGGCTAATTACCTGACTGGAAAACTTTGATTAAAAACAGGAAGACCTTTAAAAAGTTAATGTAATTAAAAACCTTTTTAATGCTATTTCCACAGGAAAAATGGGATTTGAGTAGCCTCACACAGCCTCTAAAATAACTGTCTCAGTTGTGAAAGGATAAAGCTACAGGGAGCCTTTCTCATGAACCCACCACACATCCTCAAATCCACGTTTAACATCGTTAAGACGCCCAGCAGTGAAGTCTGTTAACCCCCCCTGCAGGAGGGCCTAGTTTGTTGTTCCTGGGACTGAAAAGGGCAAGTCCCTGCAATTTCAGCAGGAAAGAGCTGAGCATAGAAGCCGAAGCCAAGACTCTGCTGGGCTCGGCTTGTCAGACATGAAGAGGAAAATGCCAAGAAGTGGTGGGCGACGGGGCGGGCGGGTGGGAGTTTCTGGGTGATGACGGACGGGCTTCACTCTGTCAGACGTTTGTTAAGCGTGATGAATGGAGCCGAGGTAGAATGTGGGTTCGGTGCATTCGTAAAGCACTTTGAAATGTCAGCTTCCATTCTCCTGTGCCTGAGCAGATGCTTACTTAAAGCAGTTTGTTRAAACTGCGGAAGAGAAAGCTCTCCRCYAAACACAGAGAGCCAGATCTGAAAATACCGTAGATTTATTGGTTTTCTTTTTTTGCTGTGCTTGATGGTAATCAAAGCAATTTCGAGAATGTTATTTGTGTACTAAACATTACTTAAATCTATATTCCATGAAGTAAACTTTCTTCATCTTCAGTTCAAAAACACTTTAAAGAGCAAAACGTGTTAAAGGTGACCTAATATGGGGGTCCTACAACAAGTTAGGATCCATCTGTGGGCTATACAAAACATGTTCATTTGATTTAATTCACAAAATTAATCTCAGATAATAAAATTTCGCCTTTTCAGTTCTGCCTGTTCTGAGCTCTCTTCAGAACGTGCTGTTTTGCATAAGTTGCTGTGGAAACCCCATCCCAATCTTTTGTTTGCGTTAGCTCCGCCCCCTGCCAGAAGTTTACTTTCAGTTTCTTTTCAGTTTAAAGTATTATTTTTCCAAAGTAGTTTATGGTGAAATTATTTATACAAACTTTCTTTAATATTACTAGAACATTGCCATCAAAAATTAAAATAAAGTTAAATAAAAATAAAATGAATCCACGCATCTCTGTTCTCCATGACTGTTCTAAAACAGCCGAACCGTCCTGTGAAGAAGTGGGCGGAGTCTCCGCTTGGGTTACCAGGAGAGGGGCTGAGATCAGGTTGGGGTGGGCTGGAGTGCAACTTGTGACATCACAAATGGCGGTGTTTGAAAACAGGTCATTTCAAGACACAGAAAAATACATTTACTTATAGTAAAAATACCTCTGAGTACATTTATTATTATTATTATTATTATTTTTTTTTTTTTTTTTTGGTGCTTGGACTTTTTTTAGAAACAAAAACCTGAAAAAAGTGAATTTTGTATATTAGGTCCCCTTTAAATATTCAATTATCTGTTGCAAGGTGCAGTTGTATCTAGATTTGTGTCGTTGAAACACTACATTACCTGCTTGTGTACGTCTAAATACCTCTAGCTAAGCTGAAAGAATGTGTTTTAGTGGACCTCCAAGCTGAGGACAGATGATGACATTACATCCATACAAATGACCAGATTCCACATCGTGAGTGTCACGTCCTGTTGGCTATATCACTCAAGGCCCGTTTCAACAATGGAGCCCAGTCTTTACGGGACGCTCTTGTTGATCTCTGAATGGACACTACATAACCGTTCCAAAAACTAAACACTAGCTCGTCACATAGGCTGAACTGGTGATTATAGCCATAACAAAGAGGCTTTAGGAGGAGACATGTAGCATTAGAGTTAAAATTCCTCAGTGGAAATAAGGGGAGAAATGAGCGTAGTACTTGAGGAAATGGTAAACTCTGCTTATCACACTTTATGATACATTGCTTGTGTCCCAAACAATGTGAATTCTTTCACGTACTTGAGTTGTAAACAGCTTATTCATGCATTAGCGACGAGATGTAATCAGAAATGTCTCTGATAACTCAAACAGAGTAGTTGTACTTGACTGAATATCTCAACCTTTGGGTCCTCTGGCCTTAACACACATGCGTCTGTCCGCTGCTCGTCTCCTCATGCTGTTTTACAGATCCCATCAGGTCTGGATAAGTCCTCACAGCTGCTCTCTGCTGGTATCCTCCTGCTCGCTTTCTCTCCCGTTAATCCATCATCTCTCTCCGTGCGTGTCTCTCACTCTCCGGCTCTCGCTTTGTGAAACATAAAGCCCCTCTCTCCAAATATTTCCCTTAAGCTGAGGTTTCAGAGTTTTGTTATGCCAAGCGAAAGTTGCACGGTCCCCATGGTGCAATCTGAATACTTTGACATATCTGACCTCCACACCAGGCCAGACCTCTTCCTCCTCTGTTTCTGTTAATGGCCACCATTTTTTAAACTATTTCAGCTGTTTGAGCCTCTGTTAAGCCCTTTATGTTAAACACATTGTATACAAACATATAGATACAGACTGTATCTATATGTTTGACCTGCCTGATTGCTATACAAGTTATTTATACATTTTTAATTAAAACACTTGGATTTGATTACATATATAATATATTATTTTATACTGTATATGCTATTATTTATACTATTACAAAAAAGTTGTTTTAAATTCCTAACTTATTGTAATTGTGTTAAATATTGTACTATACTATTTTATTAGTGATTACTTTAGTGTTTTTGAGGAAAAACCAGCGGTTCATCTACCTGTTCAATAAGATTTCTGTTCAAATATTAGTTCATATGTGCTGATGACTTCACCATGTGTGGAGAGGAGGACAGAAAGATAAAAGCAGTAATGATCTTAACCCTCTATCCATTCAGTCAGTTTTAGATTTACACTTTTTTCAGCATCTCTCATCATCACGGATGCATACACTGTAAGGAAAACAGAGTTTATCCACTGTACTGACCAGAGTTAATGTCTCAGAGTCTAAATGTAATGAAAATGAAAATCATAATAAACATTTAAAAAATCTGCAGCAGTTTGAGATGAGTAAAGAAAACAGATCTGTCTAGTTTATCAATTTTAGATGACTGTACCAGTTATTAAATACCGTAGTTTTATTATTTTTATTTCTTTTTATCTTGATTTGGTTCATTTTTTTCATTATTTATTATTCTGATTTTGAATATTCGTTGTTGTTTTTAAATCATGCAGTCGACAAGAGAAACTCTCAGCCACCACTGTGGAATGCTGGGCGACGCCGTCTACAAAGAAAACGACTTTGCTCTAATTATTGACGGAAAGAGCCTTAAATATGCTCTTACGTTCGGAGTGCGCCAGTACTTCCTGGACCTCGCCTTGTCCTGTAAAGCCGTCATCTGCTGCAGGTAAGATTTATCCCCTGAGCAGAAAAAAAAAAACCCCTGAAGAGAAAAACAGGAGAAACGTTCAAATCAGGCAGCAGCTTCTAACGGTCAGGAAATTCCCAGGAAAAGATAAAATAATTGCCATCATTCAGAACTGATCACATCACRTTTACAACCTCAAAGCAACTCACTGAACTTTTTAATTTTTTTAAATTCTGTGTAATTTGAGTCACTTTTTTTCCCTTTCAAACAGAAAGGCTAAACTGAGAAGTGTTTGCTTAAACTATAAATCACTTATTTGTCACAAAGGTTAATTCTTTTTATTGAAAGTCTTTAAAAATTATGACTCCGTTAAATTAAAATGCCAACATCATAAAGATACTCAGGTGACCTGCTGAGGCCACGTAAATAGTAGGAAGCACTTAAATATTCAAGTGACCGTGACGGTGTACGGAGCCTGAACTCACCACCATGTTTTCAGAACGACAAACCTTTACGTGCCATGCTTACCACGAGCGTAATGTCATTTTTGTATTTACCCTCCCACCC